TAGGGTATTGTCCTACAAAACCGGGAATTGAACCCACAAAAGCCTTTGATAAATTTAACAAGAAATGAATTTTTTTAACCATATCTGGGTATACCTGGAGGGGTTCCGGGTTCAATCCCCCCCAGGACCGGTCTGTGCCAGGCCTCATAATGGGCGGGCCTGATCAACCAGGCTTTTTAGTTAGCTGATATAAACCCAACGTATGAACCACAGCCCGGCTGTTGGTACGATTTTTGGGTGCTGCCCAAACCTTTCTTAAAGCAGCCAGGGGTTATTGGAAATTCCCTTCTGATGCGGAGTATGAACAGTCTTGGGCCCTTTTATAATTGTGTTGTCTTTATTGTGGCACCCCTTTTTTTTGGGGGGAATGTTGCATGTCCGACGAATCTTTTGCTTTACGGGGAGTGATTTTATGTGAAAATTTTGGGTACTAATCCCTCTGGATTTTCCAAGTGGTATTTTATTATCTCCCCTGCCTACATTCTGGGATACGGGTTTGGGAACTTCAAATGTTCCAGTAACTGGGTGTTTATCGCAGTTGTGTGTGTTTGAAATTTTCTTAATTTTTTAGGTCACCAATTTCAATGCCCCGAAAGGTGTCGCTAGTGTGCAGCAATATTCCAGCCCAGATAGAACAAGCGACATGAAGAGAGTATCATGGGCTTGAATCCCTAGTTTCGAAGGTTTTTCATTATCCTGTCATTTTTTAACAGTGCGGGGTGATGCAATGTTGTCTTTTTGAAAGGGATCTTCTGACTTATCACTACAGGTCATTAATTTGTTTTTTTGCTTATTGTGTGGTTTAATTTGTTTTATAATCCAATATGTTTAATTTCCTCAGTTTTTCCCCTTGGAGTACAGCTTCCTAATAACAAAGAGTTCCCTTCTAAGCCCCATCGATAAAAGAAAACGTGTATACTATAATGGGAGTGAAACTGTATTAACCCTTTTGATATTGTTTTAATGTCACTTTGTACCATCAAAGTTTTACAGAATTGTACTGTATAAAGAATAAACAGATGGGGGAAATTAAACTCTAAAAATACAATATTTTGGTATGAAATTGGTCAGAGAGCCTTCGTAAACGAGTGCGTTGAAAAATGAGGAGAGGCTTTAATTAAAATTTTCCCCTTCACTTAACTTCATATTGTTCTCTGGAGTCTTGCACTGTCTTCAATGGAGGACACTGTTATGCAAAATCGGGGTGTCATCTGCAAAGGAAGACATGGTGCTGTGGCTTACATCACTGTTATGTCAGATATAAGGATGAGGAACAGAATGAGAGGGAGTACTGTCCCTTTGTGGAACAGAGCTTTTCACAGGGGGATTACAAATAGATCCATGGCTTTCTTAAAGAAGCACTGGATAGGCACCTAAAGTCAGTACCGACTAACTGGGCTAAGGTTCATACATCAGGTTGCGTTGTGGTCAGAAATAACAGTTTGTTTGATCAGACCCTGATCCAACAAGGCCTGGTCTCAGACTGGGTCACAAGAGGCGTTGACCCTCAGAACCTTCTCCTGTAAACAGTAGCTGTCTCAGACTGCACTCTGCTTACTACTATTCTTTGTGTTCTACTTGATAGGAAATTATAGATCCATCTAAAAAACCTTTCCTGTTATTCCTTTATCATGCATTTTGTGTGCTATTACACTATGGTCACATTTGGGCCAAAGGCTTTTGCAAAATTTGTGTATAATACATCTGCATTTTCATAGTTTTCTGGGGCATCCAGGACCTTGTCATAGTGGCCCTGTAGTTAGGACAGGCAGGAGCATCCTGCTTTTAAAACCCATGTTGACCTGAGTGTGTAACTGATGGGTATCTAGATAAGTGGTGTTCTTGTTTTATGGTACCCCTTCAAAGATTTTTATGACATGGGATGTTGGGGGCTATCGATCACTAGTTCCTTGCTGTTGCTTTACTGACCCCTTTGTGGAGTGGGGCTATGTCTGTTGTTTTAGAGCTGTGGGATAACCCCTGTGTCCATGCTCCCTCTCCATAGGATATTTAACGCACATGATAGGGGTTCTTGCAGTTTCTTGATGAATGAAGATTTTCATGAGTTGGTCCAGGGGCAGAGTGCATGGGTATGTCTAAAGCCTTTTCTAAGTCATTTGGTGTTAGGATAATATCAGATAGGTTTGGCATCTGCCAAATTCTGAATCTCACTCATAAAAAATTCATTTAGGTCTTCGGCCCTTGGGTTGGGGTTACCCGGCAAGCTAAAACTAAGTCAAAATGGGACTTGAATAGCTCACTCATTTCCTTGCTGTCATCTGCGTAGGTCCATCTCGTCTAGTTAGGGGCCCCCAATACTAGATGTTGTTCTCGACTTAGATTCGATTTGGCATAAGAAAAGAAATCTTTTGGGTTTCTCTCAATTTCATTGACAGCTTTGAGTTCTTCCCGCATTTCTTGACTTCTGTAAGATTCTTTTAGCTTAAGTTTGATGTTTGCTATTTCTCTGGCCAGTGCCTCCTATCATATTACAGATATATTAGCCTCTTTTTGCCACTCTCTTATTCTTCGTCTTCGCCTGTATAGGGAGTACCTCTCTCTAGTTTACATCTTCTCTTAAGTGCACCTTGGCCTGGTGGTAAAAGCTCTCACTTCACATGGTAAGGCTTCTGGTTCAGTTCCCGGCAAAGGGGGCGAAAGGGGTGGAAACATCAGACATGTTTCCTTACATCTTTTGTTTATGTTCACCCATCAGTAAAATGGGAACATGGGTGTTAGTTGACTGGTGTAGGTCGCATCCTGGGACAAAACTGACCTAATTTGCCTGAAATGCTCTGCATAACAAGGGACTTTCTGTAGTGTGTCATTGATGTCAGCTAGGTCTGTATACCTTGTACATGTACTTGTAGTAAATAAAGACATTATTATTATTATTATTATTATTATTATTATTAATTATTATTATTATTATTTATTATTATTATTATCACACTGGCCGATTCCCACCAAGGCAGGGTGGCCCGAAAAAGAAAAACTTTCACCATCATTCACTCCATCACTGTCTTGCCAGAAGGGTGCTTTACACTACAGTTTTTAAACTGCAACTTTAAACCCACCCCTCCTTCAGAGTGCAGGCACTGTACTTCCCATCTCCAGGACTCAAGTCCGGCCTGCCGGTTTCCCTGAATCCCTTCATAAATGTTACTTTGCTCACACTCCAACAGCACGTCAAGTATTAAAAACCATTTGTCTCCATTCACTTTGAGCATACCTTGAGTGCCACAGAGTTAATTTGTTTTAGACATAGGTTTGGATCCATGTTGCTTAGGCTATCTTCTCAGTTTATATCATTTAGGACCTTGTTGACTTGGTTCCTCTATGTTTTTTTTATTGAAATTGAATTTGATGAAGGACCCCTCATGACCGATCACATTTTCTTGGTCTGGGGCCAAGTGCACACTTCTCTGAACCTTTATTATGCCGTGATCTGAGTATATTGTTTTTGATATGGTAATATTTTGTATCAGATCACCATTGTTCGTGAGGATGAAGTCCAGTGTATTCTCCAAACACCTGTCTTTTAAAACCGATGTGATATTTTTCCACAGTTAGTTCTCATTTGGACATACCCAAAAACACTTCCCTGGTTTAATATCTCTTGCTGATGATTTCTGAATGTCTGCACAAGACACATGGGACCTCTTTCTCATCTACATCAATGAACTCCCCAATGCATCTCAACTCCTTAAACCAGTTCTATTCGTAGACGATACTACTTATGTCTATTACCACTCAAACCCAGCTATACCTAGAGACACTGTAAACAACGAGCTGCTAGAAATATATACTTGGATGATGACAAACAAACTCACTCTTAACATAGACAAAACATACTTCATGCTGTTTAGAAACAGAGCCTTAAATATCCAACTTAATGTATCGATAAATGTTTTCCTCATTACAAGACACACTGAGGGTAAATTTCAAGGTCTTCACCTTGACTATAATTTTAAATTTCATTCCAACATCCAGCATATATCCATGAAAATTCCCAAATCAGTAGGCATCCTGTCTACCCACCCTGACTTCTACTTGCCAATTCCTCACAGTATTTTATGTCGTTATCATGTCTCCCTTAGCCCTTCTGTCCTCCAGTGTTGTCAGGCCGATTTCCCTTAACCTTTCATCTTAGGACATTCCCCTTAGCTCTGAAACTAGCCTTGTTGCAAAACTTTGCACTTTCTCTAATTTCTTGATGTGCTTGACCGGGTGTGGGTTCTAAACTGGTGCTCCATACTCCAGCATGGGCTTGACGTTTACCACGGTGTACAGTCTTGAACAATTCCTTACTGAGGTATTGTAATGCTATTCTCTGGTTTGCCAGGGGCCCATATGCTATAGCAGTTATCTGGTTGATGTGTGCCTCAGATGTGCTCGGTATTATACACACCCCAAGATCCTTTTCCTTAAGTGAGGTTTGCAGTCTTCGTGTGTGCGCATGTGTGTGTGTGTGTATATGTGTGTGTGTGTGCATGTGCATGTGTGTGTGCATGTGCATGTGTGTGTGCATGTGCATGTGTGTGTGCATGTGCATGTGTGTGTGCATGTGCATGTGTGTGTGCATGTGTGTGTGTGTGTGTGTGTGTGTGTGTGTACTCACCTAATTGTACTCACCTAATTGTGGTTGCAGGGGTCGGCACTCAGCTCTTTGCCCCACCTCTTCACTGATCGCTACTAGGTCATCTCCCTCTCAGCTTCCCGAGCTTTGTCATACCTCTTCTTAAAACTGTGTATGGTTCCTGTCTCCACTACTTCACTTGCTAGGCTATTCCACTTCCTGATGACTCTATGACTGAAGAAATACTTCCTAACGTCCCTGTGACTCGTCTGAGTCTTCAGCTTCCAGTTGTGACCCCTTGTTTCTGTGTCCCCTCTCTGGAACATCCTATCTCTGTCAACCTTGTCTACTCCCTGCAGCATCTTCTATGTCGTTATCATGTCTCCCCTGACCTTTCTGTGTGTGTATGTGTGTGTGTTTCAGCTTGTAATATCTCTTAATCCAACATTTACCCATAACAAAACAAATCTAATACATACCTCAGGTTCATTGTTACTCTCTTCAGTTTTCCATTTAACATGTCTCCTATTTTCATCAAGAGCGAAGAAACCATTGATGTGAACAGGAAGATTGGTACTGTTGGAAGATTCTAGAGGTAATGGTAGAAAGCAGAAAATATGACCACTAGACCATGAGGAGCCATGTTTTACACTGGGTGCAGCTACACCAACTAGTGGCATGTGTCCACTACTGTCCTTTCCTTTCCACACTACTGAAGAGGCTTCACTTGAACCTGGCAGGTAATGAAGGATATGCATAATCTGCTCCTCTGTGCTGTTTCCTTTCACACTCTGGATTGTAGCCTCATAATAGCAAGTAGTTGTTTGAGATGGGATACCATTGCATTTTAAGAGCTTTTGTTTAAAGTCTCTTCTTTTTTGCTGAACTTCAGTCATGCACGGACTAATTAGTTCTACTTCATGAATAATTTCTATATTATTATGATTTTCATTAATTCTTTTCAGACATATTTTTTCAAGAGAATTTAAAAATGTTAAACACACAGGAGCTTCCACACCAAATGACTGAAACAGCCTTGTAACATGTGAATGTGAGTAAACAGTATCTGATATCTTTGATGGGCTCTCCCTCAGTGGAAACCAGAAGAGGGTAGCAGCAAAGTGGCCATCATTTATATTCTGTGTGCTCATGTAATTACTCCAGAAGAGTAGACAGTCCTCAAGAGGGCAGATGTTTGTTAATTTCTTCAGAGAAACAATGCGACACATTTTATTTTCTGGTTCACTTGGATCCATAAAGAGCACCTTATCACCACTGATGATTGTTACAGCATCTGTAGAAGAATAAAAGACAATAATTACATAATACTTGACCAACAAAATGTGATCAGTTATGAGGGTACCTTCACAAAATTTGACTTCCATAACAAAAACATACAATGGGAACAAGTCAATAAATGTCATAAATGAAACAAGCTGGGAAGATATCCTAGAAAAACACAGATCCGAACCTTTGTCTATAAAAAATTAACTCCTTGGCACTTGAGGTCTACTCAAGGCACATATACTAAAGTCCCAGTACAACTCTGTTTTTAGCGACCCATTAACCAGACTAAGGGTCGCCAATCTAAATTAATTTTTTATGACTGAGACCCAAAATTTGATCATTTCATAAATTTCCAATACTATCCCAACACCACAAGACTTCAAAAAGGCAATTAATGTTATACCTATGCACTCTGCACAAGGCCCGGACTCATGGAACTCCTTGTTCATCAAGAACTGCAAGAAGCCCCTGTCACGTTCCTTCAGCAATCTATGGAGAGGCAGCATGGACACAGGGATCATCCCACACTCACTAAAAACAACAGGAATAGCCCCACTCTACAAAGGTGGCAGTAAAGCAAGGATTCTAAGAAGCAAGATCACCAACCACCTAGATACACATCAATTACATAACCCAGGGCAACAGGAGTTTAGAGCAGGTCGCTCCTGCCTGTCCCAGCTACTGGACTACTAAGAGAAGGTCCTGGATGCTTTAGAGGAACAACAAAATGCAGATGTAGTTTACACAGACTTTGCAAAGCCTTTGACAAGTGCAACCACAAAATGTGTTGATAAAGGAATAACAGGAAAAGTTGGTAGACGGATCTATAACATCCTAAAAAACAGAGTAAAATCTGAGGCAGCTTCAGTGAAAAGCTCTGTTTCCACAAGGCTAAGTACTTGTTCCCACCCCATTCCACATAGTAGCAGCATATGTTTCATAGTATTCTTTATTACTGCTATAGTAGCAGCATATGTTTCATAGCATTCTTTATTACTGCTATAGTAGCAGCATATGTTTCATAGCATTCTTTATTACTGCTATAGTAGCAGCATATGTTTCATAGCATTCTTTATTACTGCTATAGTAGCAGCATATTTTCAGCATTCTTTATTACTGCTATAGTAGCGCATTTTTTATATATTTTTATTACTGTACAGTAGCAGCATATGTTTAAAAGTTTCTTTATTACTGCTATGTAGCAGAATTCAAATTAAATTTTTATTTCTTTGCAAGTTTACATGTGATTGAATGATGTAGGGAGTCCTTTTACAGTAGTTTACGTGTGTAATTATAATAAAAATTTGCAGAAAATTTAAGGGGCTTACAAAAATACAATATGAAAATGATATATTTTGAAAAGTTTAATTGTTTTTTTTTTTAGAAACGTAAATTGACAAAATTTTGGGTATTAAATGGGAAAGTTGAAAGTAGTTAAGGTTGTATATATCAACAAAAAAATTACTTAAATTACAATTGGGAATTTAAATGTTTAAAAAGTAGTTTACAAATTGAATTGTTACAATTGAGTTAAGTCGAAAAATTTTTGTTCAGGTATTTTTTTTAAATGGGTTTACGGGGTTTCCCTGGGGGGTTTTTGGGGGTCAAACCCCGTGTCATGGTCTGAGACCGGCCCCATGGTGGTCAGGGCTGATCAAACCAGGCTGTTACTGCTGGTCCAAAGCAAACGCGTTGAACCCGCCCGGTTGGTCGGGTACGCTTTAGGTGCCTTTTCCATTTTCCCTTCTTGAATTATTAATTATTTATAATCAAAGAAAGCGCAAAGCCACAAGGACTTTTACAGGGGCTGCAGGGCAGGAAGGAAGCGGGGCATCAGGTGGCAAAAGGGAGATGGTGAGCAACAGGTTACGGAAAAACAGCGGGGCAGTGGAGGGTTTGAAAGGGTAAAGGGCAGAAAGAGACTGAACCAGAAAGGGCTGAGGGGAGTGGGAAAAGTATCATCAGAGTTTGTGGAGTAAATCAGTCGTTGTCAAAAAGTCAATGAGAGAAGTCAGGATTAAGGAGGGTCATCAGCAAAAAGGGGAAAGGGTTTAAAGAGAGAGTAGGAGAACGAAGACGACGTTGGAGGTAAATTCTGCGGGCTCGTTGATAGGAGGGAAAGTTTTAACAGAATGTGGCTAATCGATACTGGAACTTGACACTGCTCACAGAGAGGAAAGGGTGCCTCTCCATGAGATCCCCATGAGTAAGACGAGTGGGGCCCAATGCGAAGGTGGAGAGAGTGGTCTCCAACCTCGGCACTGATGACAAGAAGACGGCCAGTAACCTATGCTCGGTTTAATAGAATGAAGTTTGTTACCGAGCAGTGTTGACCAACGTTGTTGCCAAAACGGGTGCAAAGGGGTGGGTAGCTATTGCAGCAAAATAGTCTAGAAATGGAACACCTCGATAGGAAATTGGTAGGTCATATACTGCTGACCGCGCAGCAGTGTCTGCTGTTCTTTTGCCCTGTACGTCGACTGACCAGGGACCCAACAAAAAAAAATATCTTTATGTTTGGTAGAGATAGGCGTAGCCAAAGTTGGATACGGAGAACTAGGGGATGAGAATGTATCAAATTTTGTATAGTTGTAGAGCACTAAGGGAGTCTGAGATACTACAAATGATGACACAGGCATAGATGCGATACGAATAAGTGCTGCAAGAATGGCATACAGTTCAGCAGTTAAAAATGCTAGCTGAAGATAGTAAATGCCTCGTACGACGCTGTCCGGAAACACTGCTGCGAATCCGCCCGCCGTCTGAAGACTTTAGAGCCATCTGTGTACACAGCGGTGGCATGAGAATGAGAGTGGAAGTGATCAAGAAAAAGAGGCGGGAAGCCACCGTGGGGCAGTTGAGCTTTCGAGCAAGGGAGTGAGAATAGAAACAGACCCGAACAGCTGGAACTTCCCAGGGGGGTAGGGAAAAGTGAGATGCTACATGAACATAAAAAGGTGGTAACTGAAGGGAAAGACAAGAGTGAAAGTGGCGAAGAGAAAAGGGAGGGGAGCAAACAGGGGGGCGACGAATAAAGAATGTTACAAATATCGGTGACCATTCTATAAATGGAAGGATTGTGTAGATCGTGAGAGCGTACTAGTAACGAAGGCAATGGGCATCACGGCGATCAGACAAGGATGGAACATTTGCTTCTGTATAGAGGCTCTCAAAAGGGGAAAGAGCGAAAGCACCAAGGCACAAACGTAAGCCTTGGTGATGGATAGAGTTAAGGCTAGAGAGAGTAGCAGGAGAGGCCGCGGAATAAATTGGTCACCCTAATCGAGTTTCGATAAAACGAGGGCTGAATGTAGGCGAAGCAAAGTTCGACGATCAGGGTCCCCAGGAAAGATGAGCAAGGGTTTTTTAAAAAGGTTTAGCCCGGGTGTGAAAGTTGCCTTCAGAGAGGTAATGTGAGGTTTCCAGGTTAACCGCGGTCAAAGAGAAGGCTAGAAACCCGACTGTATCACGTTCGGGGATACGGGAGCCATTTGAGATACAAAGGATGATCGGAGATAACAGAGCGTCTAGTGAAAGTAATTTGGTGAGTTTTGGTACTTGAAAATTTAAACCCATGTGTGGTGGCCCAAGTGGAAACACGGTCGACCGCATGCTGGAGAGAAACTGCAATAAGGTGGGCAGTCAGCGCCTTGCACAAGCAATAGCGAAGTCATCAAAATAGAGTGATGCCAAATATTGGGTGGAAGAACAGAGGCCAAATCATTTTTTAGCAAGGAGAAGGAAAAAGTGTTTTGCTTAGAAAAACATCCCTGAGGGACACCTTCAGCTTGACGAAGTCCGGGGGAAAAAAACATTTTTTGACTCGAACACGGAAATGTCTGTCAGTTAAAAAGTTCTTAAAGGAAGGATGGTTTTGATTGCCTCGGAGGCCTAAGGGGAAAGGGCCTGGGCCAAAATATTATACCTCCAGTTGTGTCATATGCCTTCTCAAAAGGGGAAAAAAAAAATGGCAATAACTGAGTGATTATTTTGCAAAGGCATACGAACATACGTATCCCAAACGTAGTAAGGGGTCTATGTAGAACGACCCCTTTCGAAAGCCATATTGACTAGCGGAGAGACTGTTGGGAGTCTCTAAATACCCCATTAATCGTCGATTTACGAGGCGTTCCATCACTTTGCAAACTGCACTTGTAAGAGCGATGGCGGCGATAGTGGGAGGCATCCATGTCCTGTAGTACCGGTTTGCGGAAAGGAGAACAATGCAGATTTCCCCAGCTCGGGGAAGGAACTACTTGTGCCAAATAGGAATGATGAGGTGTAAGAGGATACAAGGGCTGACCGATGTAAATGTTGTAACTTCACGGAATATGAATGTCATCAGGGCACCAGATGCCGATGATCGGCAAGCTTGAGAGCGTTTAGCCTCCAGTTCTTGAAGTGTAAAGGCACATTATTATGTTCTTCCTACGAGAGAAGCAATGTCCAAGGGTACTAAACTCTTGGAGACTTTGAGGAAAGAAAGAGGGGTAGATGGAGCCCACTCGGGAAATTCGGACCGTTGTGGGCCAAGTTCAATGGCAACGCGAGAGGGTTTGCTATATCCAACACAAGTGACCACGTTAGAACAGGAGCCCGGGTCAGGAGAGGTCAGGAGAGTATTTACCATCAATTTCCATTCACTTTTTCAGACTGAACTCTATAGAAGAAGCAGAGGTGATGGTGGAAAAAAGTAGTCTCGCCCAACAAGTGCGTTTAGCTCTCACGGACATGACCACGGCGACAGCGATCGCACGCTTCTGCTTAAAATCAACAGTCTCTCACAGCGGTCTATGTATACCGGTATCCTGCCCATGCAGCCACGTTTCAAGTTACTGCACGAGCACAAGCAGGAGACCACCAAGGCACGCCATTCTGAGAATCCTGCCTGGAGGTTGATGGGGTTTATAGTATGAGACGCTGCGGTATAAACTGATGTCGAGAAGATGTGTAGGAGCTCATCAATGGAGGATGAAGAAGGAGGAACTCACTAAAAAGCAGTGAGGT